ATGTTGAACATTTTCACATCTTCGAAGAGTTTAAAGACAAAATTTCGATGTTATTTGATGTAATTGCAAATATAATTAATATTTGAACCAATTTTTCGGAATTTTTGGACTTCAAAATACTTGACTGAAAGAAGCACTATAGTGAGATAGAGGCAAATAAGAATGCTACTGGCAAACTCGATTGTGACACACTACTATATTATGTACAAACTAGTATTATCACAAAAAGTGAAAACCAAACTCTGACTTCCAGCTTTATTTCGTTTAAAATGACAATATGTAAAGGATACTCTTACTCAAGTTGATACTTTTTTTTTATCTGTATGTCACATCTGACACTCAAAGAAAACAATCAAGTAAGTATTCTTGAAGAATCAAGAATAATTGTAAGTGAATCCAATTGATTCTGCACAAACACTTGTAGATGTAACTTTAATTGTCCACTTTCATTCAATCATCTGATTTGAATATTATAGATCAACCGTAATAAAAAGTAATCAAAATTCTTATTATACTTTTAATCACGTAATGATTTATTTTATTTCCAAAATGAAAAATATTTGAAAACTAAATTGTATACATGTTAAAATGATTTTGAAATTTTCTCATTTTATATACTGATATATTATTATAATCTTATCAAATTATTTTAAAACAATTATCTTGATATGATAAAAAGTTTCCAGAATCAAAATACTATGGAGAAGCATTAGCGAAATTGAGAAGTTTTCCACTTCAATAATGCTAATTTGCACACTTAAGACAAATTATGATAAAATCAGTATGTTGGAATTGTTGTCATTTAAGCTAAAATAAGCTTTATTCACCAAATACTATCTTTTAGAATCATGAAACTTAATATTCAAACCATTTAATTTACTTAAAAAGGTAATCTAATAAATTTATTTATTTATTTATAAATAGGTTTATTTTAAAATTATTTTGAAATTATTCGTACTATGTTAGAATAATATACATTAATTCCTATTATTACTTGTAAGTTATTTGATCTAAAAAATTTACATTAATAATGATTTCATTAATGATTGAGGATGTAATAAAAGACAACATACAAATATTATAGAATTCTGACAACTAACATAAAAAGGCAAGACGCATATTTACAAAATATATATACAAGGTGAGCTATTTTTACATTTCACTTTGTATTATCTCATTTCAACATCATAAATCTCAAATCAAAATCTCATAAACTCTCTTACATACTTACTTGTGAATTGTTTTAGATTCACAAGTAAGTATAAATCAAGTTTTAAGTAACTTTTAATTTTGATTACACAGCATGTATATATATATATATATATATATATATATAATATGTAATATTTTTTTTAATTTTGGAAAAATAATTATTTTAAAATGCATCTATGTAATCAATTGACCTTTCAAAACTTTCAAAACATTAGGATTTTTTGAAACTTAGACCTAGGAAAATATTTTTAATATGATTTATAAAAAGGTATGATTCATAAATGTTAAATCCATACTATAAGTAAATTTTTCACAAAGAAGTTTTTAAACCAAACTAATGTGTATAATGCAAGCATGCGATATATAATAAAAGGTAAAAGATTGATTCATTCATGTTGAAAATTAACAAAAACTCTATATGTGATACTCATATTAGAATTGCATAGAAACACAAGATATACTCAAAATTTTTCAATGATTAATATTGGTCAGCGCATTAGCTCAATTTAGTTTAATATCAATACTAACTTGCTCAATAATTTTATCAAAAATTGCAACTCTTTTAAAGTTTATAAAGTGATACCTTGTTAATGTGTTTCATTACACTGGTCATCATTTAATTTGCAAAAACACACTCATACCATCACAACTCCAACTCAAAGACAAGTCATTTCAGTCCAATACCTTTCTTTGCTTTTTCGACTGCCGTTAAATATTCAGCTTACATCATGAATTTAGCTACGCATTTCTGCAAAGTAAAACTCTCACTAATACATCCACCACCATATGTGTAGAGTTCCTCTTGTGTGGATCTCGTCCATGGTCATGATACGCAGCAACTTAACCATGACAATAATCTAGCATTGTTTAATAAATTATCAAGCAATATATTATAATCCTCAATATTTACCAAATATTTAAAAATTCATTTCACTGCTTTTCATGATTCAACAAGTATTTGTACATCTTGCCCATAGCTAGAGCAATATCATGTATTGTACATACCATTTAAAACATGAGGCTACCTATAGTTTTGTCATAGAAAATTGATAACATCTATATTTTTTCAATATCACCAATTAAACACTGAGCTGCGGAAAATCTGAAGTGTGCTATCAAATGAATTAACTACTTTAAACTTTTCATGTTCTATTTGTCAAGCAAACATTGTACGTATTTGTCTTTACCCAATCATAGTACTTGCTTCTCCAAATTCATATAAACATTCATATCTAATATACTCTTGGAATTATCTAAAGCCTTCATCCCAATATGCGGTGAAAGTCAATCGTAGATACAGGTGTACACACAAAGTAAACAAAAAAAAATGCTGAGGAAAGGAGATTCAAGAACTCTAGTCCTTGCTTTTGAGATGCTCTGCGGTTTATACGATCAAATCCAAGACATGTGTGAGTCGTGGAAAAGAAGTTCACGAAGACTCGAGGAAGGCTATAGCCCAAAATTAGCTTTTTTTCTGCAATGTGTTACTTCATGAGCGTCACTTCGCCTTCCTGTATAACAGCGAGGCTTGATTTACTTTTCAGCTCTCCGAACCCAGTCAATGGGATGGGTAAAGAAGATTTCCAGGGGCGGTGAAGCACCCAACACAAAAGACTCGTGCATTCGACTGATTGGTGCAACCTGAGGGTGCAGCCGAAGCTATCACAAATTCTGAAGATATGCACTCAGTCCCTCCCAGCGTTTTCTGACACCCTTCAGCCATACCAATCCATGTGTCCACATGCCTCACGCTAATTTATGACTTGCTGCGCAGAGAGTCGAGGGGAGCCAATTGTGTTTCTATGTGGCACTGGGAGGCATCCCAGCTGCTGAAGGCCGGTTCGGAGCCCTCCTCCATTGAGGACCAACCGGGCCTGAGCACCTGAATCCTCATCCATGCTTCTCTCATGGGTTTCCGGAGCTCATCTCCTCATCTCCTCCGCATCCTCGGTTCTCCTCGAGCATTTGCCCCGAATTTTAAGGGGCTTACATTTATCCATTTTGTCCGGAAATGTCCAAATTCACTTTTCATAGACTAGTGCTGAAAACCGGATCCGATTTCTGGAGCATTTTAGGCTTCTAAACCATAATCGTCATTATTGTTAAAAGTGCCCGAGCGTCGTGGTCTTAATGTCACATGCTGATAATGCCGCATCAGATTCTTTCCAGATATAGCCAACGGGATCTAATGCACCTACTGGCGTAGAAGGTTACATCAAACAATGTATTCAGTCTCGAATACGTCAGTCACTTCTCTATCCATACTCTGCGGCTGATAGCTTTCAGTGTTTCTGTAAGGAATTCCCAGCCATCTCCGCTAGTGAACAATCTTCGTCCACTTTGGGCTAAATATATTAATAATAATAAGATGTCGTGAATTTTTACCAAGCCGTGGATTTTCACTGGCTTCAGACGCTTTCCAGCGTGAGACCTACTCTACGTACACCCACTCAGTGCAGGCACAAGCCTCTCAGTGCATGGTAGAGTTCAGAATAACACGAGAACAAAAGTCCACCATCGTAAACCGTCAATGGAGAAATAGAGTCACAGAGAGAAAACACCGATCAATCTGTCACACGGTAACTGTAAAAAGCGCTTGCAACGACAGATAGAAGGATGAACATCGCTAAAGGATCGTCCATAGAGGACAGAGTCTGATGCAACGCATACGTCTTGGGTCGTCGTCTTTCGCACTGCCAATATCGTCCCAAATTAGAATGAACCAGCTGTGAGGTTCTGCAAGAGCAACTGCACCTTCCTACCTGAGAGCTCACTACTCATCGACCACTCGATTTTCAGGTGTATCTGAGTACTCCTGAGGCCATGTTTTAGTGCCCTTGGTGTTAATTCCCAAAGTCAGGGAGATCATGAATGTCTTCACAAGCCATCTCAAAAAATTGCAAGACGGTTGCGAAGATCCTGATGTCTGAATGCAACGTGGGTAAGAACGGGTCAGGCTCCAATAGTATCTACTTCATCTAAGATATCTCGGCTGTTTTGGAAAGGTAAAGTATCAACGTATGTCACGAGGAGTACTCTTCTAGATCGCACCATATACTGATATAAGTGAAATATCGATAAACATGAAGTATCTACATTTGACAAGAGGAGTACTCTTCTAGATCGCACCATATACTGATATAAGTGAAATATCGATAAACATGAAGTATCTACGTTTGACAAGAGGAGTACTCTTCTATATCGCACCATATACTGATATATGTGAAACATCGATAAACATGGCCTATGATCAGGACACATATCAAAGCAAAATATCTACGATATTTCTAGTGTGATAGATTACCCTACCAAACCAATATCACACATCTTAATCCTTGCTATCGTGGTTGGCTTGTCTCCGCGGGAGTTTTATCTTAGCGTAGAGCTAGCCGTCATGCTGGTACGTGTATCTCAGTATTTTGACGATGAGGGTGAGGAACACGTTAATTTTGGCTTGAACTACCAGCCCCTCCTTAAATCCGATAGTCCGCATTTGCGGACTGGGGTCCTTCGATACTCTCCTATGGAACTTTTGGTCAAATAGGTCACATTCCATAATGCGAGAATATCTCAAACCTTACCAAAGAGTAGCATCACTCTCGTACGAATGACTCTCTACAGGGCTAGCTCAACCGCATATCGATCGAAAAGACAATCTCCCACACAAACCGTACTTGCTCTAGTGGATATGTTTCCACAAGACTTTGGGTTGTAACGCCGTAATCATCGTGAAAACAAGGACGGCATGTCATGTACTTGGTCTACTCAATCAGTTAATACGAATGCCTTCATGGCTCAGCATTTATTCCTTGCTCCAGCACAAACTCTGGCCGACAGGGATAATGAACTCATAATCTAGTTTAGTTTTGAATCTGGGTGCCCATTTCCAAACGCAAGGATATGCTGGGGTAATTTGTCACTGGTATGAGGCATGGAGATAATCAATTGACCTCGTGATGCATCGACTCGCATCTTTGTATCGATGACGGACAGGATGAACGACGGCGGGCCACTGATACATTCTGAAGAAAGAACAATATGTTTCGAACTGAGTTTGACACAACTGATGCTTCAGCCGTAACTATCCCGTGTGAGTTCCAAAAAGAAGATGCACGACAAATGTCCTTCAAAGATTGCGGGATCAATTAACTACCGCACATAGTCAAAAGATAGTGATCCCTGGAATAACCTTTCATAAAGTAATTCATGACACAATCTGATTTATGACCTTCCATCAGGAAAAGATTAGAAGGTATCTTTCTGTACAAATGACCTTAATGTCACGTATCTGATAATTCAAAATTTCCAACTGGTGGTACATTGTGGATACGAATATGAGAGGCCAGTCCGTACGGAGCTCCCTAATAATAAGCCTTTCGAGGATTGTTCTGCGCATATGGGCAAACGACGACACAAACCAATTTCAATCATATCATTAGAACCAGCAATTCAGGATCTACTCTTAGATGCTCACGTAACGTACACGCAATGCATCTGCGAATTACCAACTTTACAACCACAGAAGTAAAGCATGAATAGATGTATCCTGGAGAGATTACCAGTGGATTTGGTCTAAAGCGATAACCCAGCATCATCCGTTTCTTGTACTGTTCGTATATGTCATCATCTGGTGTAACTTCACCAGGTTGCTCCGCACCAACTCCAAGATTGTTTAGTTTCACGGCCCCTGCTTGCACAGGATCTGATCGACCACCTTTCCTACTTCCGAGTCCCTCACCTGCAAATTTTCAATTTCCAAAGCCAGTGAGAACATATTGCAACAAAAACGAGGGCAAAATTCAAAACATTCCAGGTCAAATTTGAAGGGAAACAATCACATCCTCCGCAAACCGGGATTAACTGTGAGTAACGTAAGGTGTGCGGCTACATTGAGACCCGTAAAACAAGTATGCAATCAGAGAGGCACTTTGATCAAAAGAAGCTAATGGACTGACTGAGTTGAGGTACTAAGGACTGCATTTTATCAACAATGTTGATAAATTGCAAATCCTCAGACTTTTCCGACTAATGATAACAACTAATTTTGAACTCATTCTAGACTTCGTTGACAAAGTAGACGAAGAATAGGCCACGAAGAAACTTGATATATCTACTTCGCAAAAGTTATCTATCAGAAGCCAAAAACAGACACGCACAGTGCAAAGTGTTACATACATCCACATTCAAGAAAGCCTAATGAGCTGTTTGATGCAATTGTGAACATGGGATATAAACTTATGCTAACAGGTGAGTCGCAAAGTTATTTTACAGAACGCCTCCTTTCGTGCTGACGTAAACAAATTACTCAATAAGAGGTCAAAAGGAAAATTTGAACTCATACTGCGAACAGGAATGTGGAACCAACACTTCCTTTCACGGTTTTACATCCAGTTGATGCGCAGAAGACAGACAGTGGTGTGGATCAAACAGTTATCAGGCTGCAGAGACATAAGTGGCCTGTGCAAGTAGGAGGACGAACGTAAACAAGAATCCAGGTTGCACCATAAGACATAGGACAGAAATCGGAAGGCATTCTATATACGGTCTAGCACAAAGCTGATAAATTTTTTAAATCTTCTGCATGTACCAACTTCTGTTCATTAGGAAAAGCGACAGTGTTAAAATTTGATATACGAAACATCATGTACCTGATCGGCAAGATTTACATGAGAAAAGGCCAGACCACGACAAGATTGAACTACTACATAAATAATTCTACAGACACATCTTACTATTTCTATCTTCGAACTTTTCAAAAGCAATCTCCACAAAATACTCTAGGAACAAAAAAATTGAAAAGATGGTCAAGTGTTACGAAAGGAATATATACAGAGTAGTATACGAAGAGGCCAAGGTTGGAGTTGGACATTCCAGGATAGTTTGTACGACAGACAACGAGCGACTAGTGCTTTAAGTATTTCAAAACAAAGATCAACCGTTAGGTTTACTTTCTGAGTTTTCCAGGGGTAAGAAATATGAAGAATACAAAGTAGCATTTGAAAACACCAGGCATATAGCTTACCTAGCACTTTAAATGTTCTGCTCTTTAATAAAGAGCAGAACATATAAAACCACAATAATTTAGTAAAATGTGGGCAGACACAGAAAACGCAACACGGCGTTAAGAATAAGAAAGCATCACTTTCAAACTTATTCTTAATTGCAATACAACGAAAGAGTACGAAACGGGAAAGACAAGGGGATGGTATTTAAAATTCACAGAAAGTAAGAAAATGCAATGAAATCCACGTACATATGCAGGAAGTAAAGGAACAAGTTTAAATGAATTACAAAGTGTGAAAAACATGGAAAACGGTACCCTCAGAAGAAGTATTCAGAGCCAGAAGGCCATAGACCCCCCAACATGGCTGAGCAGTCTGGGAAAAAAAAAAGATAGAGAACGTGACAGATTTTGACATGAATTTCTCTTGTATTGAAATGATCAGCAAAAAACCTTTCTCCGGCTCATCCACTTGTTGATTTCTACGGCCCGAACCAAATGAAATTCAGGAGCAGCAAAACACAATTTATAAGCTAGGCAAAAAAAATTCAGAAAATGTTTCTGGTTCTACTGGTCACTGAATTTGTGCTGTGAAGTCCCCCTCTAATTTCATCTGGTTAGCACCACTAACTCTTATCTGGAACTTTTAGATTTGAACGAGGAAAATTTTATGCCACAGCGAATGAGAAGACAGTGAAAAAAGGTGCAAAGGCAACCACATATGAGCCTTCGATGCTTACTGCTGCTGAGAACAGAAGAAGGTGGGTATGTCTTTTTGGATTAATCGTCAGAGACTTGATGCAATAATACAAACCCTAAGATAGTACTGACGAGAAATAGAACAGACGAGAGTAGGTTCGTTGAACATTATCATATCAACACCGTCAACTTAACTGTATACATTCTTCTCAAGACCTCGTTAAGCATACACCATCCGTGTTCAGTAGATTTGGTACTAGCGAAAAACCTTCTTGAAGTTAGCGTGTTTGCTAAATGTCCTCTCTACCTGTGTACGTTATCATTACATCTGAGTAGCTTTCCAAGATAGTGGGGCTTGGGCTGCAGGTTGTACCCAGTAATAAAGAATACAAATGTAGAAATATGGTATCACTGCATGCCAACTGAGAGAAAAGAAATGGGCCTAAAAAGGCTGTCGTCTGATAGTGTATCAACATCTACTCCGAAATTTACAATTAAAAGTGGAAAAACAAAAATACAAGTACATGAAGTCTACCCTCTTTCTTTGCTAATCCAAACACAGGATATGCTTGCAGCGCAACGAAACTTAATTGTCACACACATGACGCAATCAGACAAATAGATCGGAAAGTACAGACAAAACGATGAATAATAGTAAGGGGAAGGTAGAATTAATAAAAAAAATACCTTCTTTCCAGCCCATCTTGGATAAAAGACGATGTCCAACATTATCAGCTTGGATCTTTGCTCGATCAGCTGCAGCTTTGGCTGCCTTTTGTGCCATAGCATCGTTGCACTTGGCCATAAATTTTTCAAGCTCCTCGGGAGGTATGTAATCACCCATGTGATGACCCTTCTTCAGAGGACCTACACGACAAGTCACCAACAGTACATTTGATATGAGCGGTAATGATCTTGACCTGCAAGTCTAGATCGTTTCTTCATGATATCATAAACAGCAGTACTCCTGCACACACGAGGAGACAACCTAGAGATACATTCGCTTTTTGAAACCGTTTGCAAATCGATCTCAGTGACTTAATTTTCTAAAGGAGAGGGATACACTCCTGGAGCTCTAATACTTCCAATAAGATACTTCTCGCCATCTTCAGTAGATAATTCAGAGACAAACCTTCATGCCATCTGATACTATCATACATCATCATGGCATTGGTCGAATATTGGAAAATGAATGAAATATAACCTTGGGAAACGTCATCAACAACTTTGGTCGGTGGTGAATATGGGCGCGAAATTTCTACATGAGGCCACGGTACTAGTCAACATCAATAAATCAAGGAGCCTGAACTTGGCGTGACATGAAAATAAGTACGTATACGTACAAACTCCTGTCCAACTACATCTCAGCGGCCAATGGCGAGCAAGAAACTAACAGATACACACGCACATCTCTTTAACTCGTGTACAACCGGTCCAACCATGAATTCGGCTCTACCACTTGAAAACAAAGCTAGCCAAAGAGTTACAAAAGCACGCGCACCTGTGGAAGGTTCTTCTGCTGGCCACATAACTGGAGACAGTCGAGAACTTTCTGCACGAGTTAAGAGAGAGCATAAGCTGACGGTAATGGTCAGTGCAACTGAGGCAGAAACAATCTTCATAAGGTGGTGCTGATCCTTAAATCGACAAGCATCCTGGAAGTGTGAAGTCCTTCTCTACTGCCAACTAAAGGTCAGGGTTGGACTGGTCAAGAATCAAATCAATTTATACTAGAAATGATTCACTAACTTTCAGGCGGAGGAGCAAGAGATGCAGCTGGGGGCATTTCATCGTTCGTGAGCTTCGTGGGCTTTCGCAGATCCTCCTGTGCCGCCTTCTTCATGTAAAACTCCATCATTGACAAGGAGTCTGTAGCCCAAGATGACTGACTTCCGTAATCTGCGCGGTTAAACGTACCATATTTGAGATAACTACACATCGTGAATAGTAATCACAGATGGTCAAACTTAAAATAACCGTGACTCAACGGATTATAGACATATTTATGAACACCAAAATAGGCTTCGGTGTAGATATAACACCAAATAACAAAGAAGAGTTCCAACTGCATATTAGATCTCGAATGGCTTGTACCAATCCTGGCATTCGAAAAGAGCTTAGCAGTTACCTTGAGACGATTCTCGCTGTTGCCTCCTTCTATCTTCTTTCGAGTCCGAATAGAGAGCTGATGCTGGTATTGAGTAATTTGTGCGCTGATGAGGGTTATTCTTTTGATAGCTGGTTTGCTGTCTAGATGACATGCGGCTACTGCTTCCTGTTATAAACCAATAATCAGGGAACAAACAAACATGCGGATACATACTTTTTAATATTTATCATGGACTCAATTTTTTAGGCATCCTGACACTCTGGACAACTGATATGAACTAATTTAAACAGCAGTAACGAAAAAATTAATCTACCACTTCCAACAAACAGCTGCATTCTCAAATTGTTGCATGGCTAACGTTAAAAAGTATAATTATCACAAATTAGGTACTACACGATTGAATTTTTTTTTACCTGCTCATACTTTGAAATATTTCTTGTACTTAGCGTAAATTACTTAAAAACTTTGTCAAGTAAGAACATCAGAAGGCTGAAAATTTGACTGCACAGAAACCTCATCAAGTCTGTCTTCGAACAAATAGGGTAAGGTAAAGATAATACAAAATAGGATATACCTCCTTCTGCCGGTTTGGAATCCTCGCCAGTAAGCGCGAGTCCTTCTTGAGCGACTCGATACTCATAGTACTTATAATCTGGACAATTAACATCAAACAGAAACCTACAGAAGAGAGAGAAACATGTCACAATCCTACATAGCGAGCAGAGGGACCAAGGAAGAAAATACGTGAGAGTAGCGAAACAGAATGTCCAAACTAAAACAAGTGAAACTGTTCTATGTACTACACCTTCCGCAAATGGTCACCTGAAGGGAGTGTCTCCTGGGTTTCTTTGACGGGTGATATTCTCGAATTGCCTGCCGTTAATTGCGACAAAACTAGCAAGCTTGTCTGCAACTTTCTTGACCTCCGGATCACTTGGAGGTGGACAAAATCCTGAAGAATTGCACGTAATACAGATTAGAAGCTATAGAATTAAGGTTCACAACCTCTTCATAAGAAAAAGCATCAAACAAAATCTCGACATTTTTCAGTGTATGTGCTACATTCAGTAATGATTGAGGCCAGTAAGCAACTTCATGACCTTTTTCCTGTTCTGACGTGACTCCCGGAAGACCCGTTATCCTTTCTGACTTCAGTTTCTTGGCACGTCTTTCTATCAGACCCTCCTCTGTATCTTCATCATCATCGCCACCCAATTTGATGGCATTCACCGCGAGCCTTGACTTTTGCTTCAAACTAAATGCTAGTTTTCCATTAGCAGATGTGGGTTTCGCGACTGATGTTGTTTTTACAGCAGGGCTACTCTGCTGAATGTCACTAGTTGACACAGATTCCTGATTATCAGGCTTTGGGGCCAACTTAACAGCTTCCTGCTCTTGTTGAAGTCTCTTGAATCTTTCCATGAATGAACCATCGTTTGGAAAGAAACCGGCTTCGCTTGGATCAGACATTTGTTTGTTCTCTAACAGCGAATTATGAGAGCTTCTGAGTCCAACTTCAACTATTGTTCAGTTCCACACTATCCCACAATGAATCCAACACCTCACTTCCATTACCTATCGGGAAGGTAGATGAATTTCAGGGCTCCTGGCTAACCAAGATACATCTCACTAAAGGCGACCTTTTCAAATTGAGAGTGACAAAACTCCCGTCATCTGATCTATAGGACAAGCTTCCACAAGGTGCAATTTCGAGGAGCCACAGAGACTCGAATAGAAGAGCGGAATGTGCGTATCAACAGGCACTTAAAGAGTCATTTTTGTTGTGCAATGAAGATGACGAGACGACTCCTGCCCTTCGCCAAGGTGCCCTTGGCATATGAACCATCAAAGGTAACTCTCCAATAAGGAATATTTCAAAGCCGTTGTGTCGCTAAAAGCGCGCCAAAACCTCTAAGAACCCCTTGTGGTGATAAAAAAGATTTACTGTCTTGAAACTCGACCTCGGCGTGTATACTATAATCCAGTCAGAGCATATCCAAAGCTCTCCAATTTTCCCGCTTTTCGAGTGACATATACACGTCCGGGGAGGAGAGTCTCTCAGGCAGCTTAAATTTGTTCGAACTTTGAAAGGAGATGCGGAGATAGCAATACAGATACAAAGCTCCCGTGAAGCGAATGAACTAATCAAGTGAAAGTGTGGCCTCGGATTGGCTCAAGGATAGCGAAAATAAAAGGATCGGGTGGGAGGAGGGATGCCACACAAATGTAAGGAGCTTGATCTCCTAAGAATAAGAGCTCCTCTTGTTCTTTCTCAAATCCTCTCTTGTTTCCTGCCAGACAGCATCGCTGAAGAGAAGAAAGTTGTCGTAGGAGAGCTTACAATGTGATGAGATTGAATAGTTCGCGTTCTTCCACCCCCTGCTCATACTGCTGGTCAGCAACCGCCAATCTTGCTTCAATTCCTCCCTCCCTTCCTCCTTCACTCTCTTTACCCCCGACTCATACCCTATATAGTTCATGACTCTGCCTCACTACCCTAACATCTCTCTCCGACCCGACAGTACAAGCAAAGATGTGTACCTCCCTCCTTCCCTGAACTGGACTACTCAGACAGGAGCGATCGTACCCTTCCACTACACTCTCCCAAAAATCTATCTCCATTTTCTTTTATCTTCTTTCACCGAGAACCTTTAACCGATTCCCGTGTAGACGAGACTAAGCCCACACTTCCTCAGAGGACCGTCACACGTCTGACATGCAGATGAAGAAATAAAGACGAGCAGAAGCAGAAGAAACCGGTACCAGCGGCCCATACCTTGTTATTGAATCTCTGTCACCACTCTTGTTCTCTCGATGCCTCAGATTAACGAGAACACACGATCCAATCTAAATAAAAATGGGATTGGATCAATGAAAACGAGACGACCAAATCGCTGCTGTGAAATGAAACAACACACAGGAAACCTGATCATGTATGGACGGCACAAAAACGCAAGGACGACAAACCCCTACGCCCTTCCCCTGAACTACTACGATTGGCGGCAGCGGCACATATAATAGACCAAGCTGAGGCACTGAACCACACGAATACTCTTGTTTCGGGCAGACTCAAGGCGATCGATTCTTGATTGAGTGACACGGTACACACAGACACACACTAGCACGCCCTCGCTTCGCGTGCGGAGGGGCCTGCTGAATTCGTGTTATCTATCTCGTCGGCTCAAGCAAAGCAAGCACATAATCACAATTCAGATGGCATTGAACGTCCGGCTTCCCCACTCGCGCGGACAAAGAAACGAAAAGCCTGCTCTACCACTGCTCCCCTCGCCCTCCTCTGCCTGCCAGCCACAGACACTCCCGCGGCCGAACCAAACTACGCTCCTCGAGTGGGCCCCGGCCTGGACATCGTGTGGCTACCTCGCCGTGCTTCTCCGGACCAGCGGCTGCCTTGGCCCTAGATCGCCTTCCCTTGACTGAGGTCCGACTTCTTCCTCTCGGTCTACGTCTATGTCCCACACCTTTACATTCTGCGATTACAGTATGTTTGGAGATGGCTCCCCATGTTTTTTTCCCGAGACATTCGAACCTGATTTTGGCTCCTTACCGGGCCCCCCCCTTCACGCTATTATATATTATATTTTAACCCATAACGCAAAAGAGAAGATGACGAGAAATTTAAGCGGAATTTTGCTATGCAGACTTTAATAGACATTTACATCCCAATCATGGGGAAAGGTTGCAAGCTGACTGATTAAACTCCAAACTGACATTTCATACTTACATTATGTGTTCATACAATCGAATATAAAATCTACGGTTATATATATATATATATATATCACCTAAGGTTAAACACAATATCATATCATATTATTTCATGGTGTATAGATCATAAAATTAAAGAAATAAATAAAAAAACTGAGAGTACAAATTTGAAAGGTATCGAAAATCACCTTGAATAGTGTTATGTAACAATCTCATTCGGTTGTAATATATCTTCAGAGTTTTAATACATCTGCGTAATGTGCCTGGAGTACATTTTCCATTTAGAATGTGCAAATGTATCGATATTAAGTCTAATTTGATGTAAATCGCAAAGTATGAGTAGTATTGACTAGTCTAAATATGTAACAATAAATTATCCTTCAATATAATGCTACATAAATACACTCAACTTATCTCATGTTGAATGAGTTGAGTTGATTCATACCACATATATGTGAAAAATTTTAATCATATACCTGTCAGACTAAAATTAAATTCAAATATGTTTCTAAAATTTAGTTTTTTAGCATTTGATATTAAAAATAAAGTGATATCATTATAAACAAACAAAATATAAGAATTATGTGTGTATATATATTTTTTGTGAAATTATTAATCCATATTCATAATGATAACTGTTTGAAATAGATTCAACACATCAAACATATGATTCATTTGAACAAGTCAAAGTGCACAAATAATATACCATTATTAATCTTAAATTCTAATATGTGTCACAAATTTTCTTTTGTAGAACGATTTAATGAACAAATTTAACTAACATGATCAAAGTAATTAAAGTCAATCAAGAGTTGCGTAAACTTTTAATATTTAGGTCTTATAGATGCATTTATATTTCAATATATTTCGAATTAATTTATATTTTTAAATAAATTTACATATATATATATAATATAGCAAAGAATCGAAATAGTTTTATTACAAGATATAAATTTGATTTTGAATGCTTAATTCTATTTTTGATACATGAATTAAGAATATATCAGAATTATAATTTTATATAAATAAATATACAAAATTTAAATAAATAAATTATTTGTTTATTTATATTTATATTTATATTTGGCAAAATTAAGTTTGAACAATAAAATCATTGCAAAATTAGAGAGTATAATGTAAACCAAAAGGTGGCAGAATGTTACTTTTGTTACAGTAATTCAGTATGTATCAGTCACACTCTTAAAAAATGATGACTTATTATTTTTAAATATAATTGTAAAGTAATACCAACTATGGATGTCTTAAAAAATAAGCTAAAATACGTACACTAGTCTGTTCAAAAGTGCAAACATTAAAATCTAATATTAGTTAGAGATTGAGGATTTATAATTTTCTTCCAGCAATTTCAATCCAGATTTTTTCACAAAAATATTAAAACTTGCTTTAAAAAAATTTATTATTTAAAAAAATTTATTTTGAAAACTCTTTAATGGAAACTAATTTAAATTATTAATTAATAAATAAAATAAAATAAAATAAAAATTTTAATATTTATAATGATTTATTCATTTATAATCATTTGTTCTAATGTCCTATCAAATTATTTTTATTTATTATTAAAAATAAAAATTTGAAATTAATAGTGAATAATAAATATTCTCGAATCATAATGATTGCAATTCAAGTAAAAAAAATGAAATTTTGAATGAATATTTAATTAAAAATATAACAACAAAATTATCATCATTATTTTTTTCCAAATTTTATCTTCTTATTTTCTAAAAACAATGAATACATAAATTATATTATTTTATGAATATATTTTAAGAGTATAACATATTAGACAGTACAAAACATAGTTTTCATAATTTTAAAAGATTTCAAAAAAAAATCATTTAAGATGATTTTTAACTATCTAATGATATATTTCAAAATCAATGATAATAATGAATTTTCCCCCAGATAATTGTTTTCAAAGAAATAATAAAATATGTTAATTAATTTAAATTAAAAATTAAAAATTAAAAATTAAAAATAATTAATTTAATTAAATTTATAAAAAATTACATTAATTTATGTCATGTTTGTTCCTACATTGTAGATTTTTCATATGTTGAAGTGAATATATGTTGTTTTAATTGTTTAAAACTACAGATTTAATTTGCCATGTAATGCATTAGGTCCAAAGTAGTTTTTATTAAATCGATAATATATTTATATGTAGTCACAAATTCTTATGAAATAGTCTACTCTTTGATATTTATATATACTGTTTTACTCTTTATTACATTCTGTTAGATAATTATGATTAAGTAAACTTAGTCATGATGTAATACAAGAAAGAATAGAAAAAATGATTTGATAAATAACACCAAACCTTCAAGATGAAAGAAAACCACAATGGTTTTTACATCTTTTGTATATACTCCCAACATGTACAAAAAGGAAAAATTCTTAACATATTATTATATAAATTTTTGTATGTGAATGACATAACAAATAGTACATGATTATGACATGTTATTTTGAACTAATAATCTGTACATAAGAATCGTTGAGATTGTTAACAAGATTGATTGATATATTTATTTATTTCTTATTTATTTCAAAACAGGTTTTTTTTATAGTAACGTCTATTTTATTTTTGAACTAATATACATGTAACTTTTGAATCCATTCACATTGAAGTTTACCTCTAATAGCTTGCTAGTGATTCATCATGAGTTGATAAGGATAATGTTTACTTTATAATAAATTTATACAAAATACGCAGTTACATCATCTTTCATTCATCATTTCATACCAGTTTTCATAAATCATCTATACAATTTACAATATTTATTTATTTTTAAAGAAAATTTGTATGAATTACAACATATTGATGAAATAGATTACTTATTTACCTTTTAATCTCCTCAATGCATGTTTTCATCGTGTATTTTAGTTTACTAAAAAAAATCAGAGTAGATCAAATTACTTTATTACCAAATTATTATCCAATGCAAATGTCACACCAATAGATGTTAAACAAATTGAGAATTACTGTCATACACTTATGATTCTATCATACAATGCACTCATTATTTACTAATCTCGAAAATATAAAAATTTCACATTATCAAAGTACTAAAAAAAATCAAAACTCATATCGGGTTTGAAAGGGATGATTTTAACACATATAAGCTTCGTACTAAAACCAGTGAATAAATTAAGGAGAGTGTAGATGATTGACTTCATGAATCGTACAAACATTTTAACTTGGAAATGAGGGTTCGAAAATGTCATATAGAATTAGTATAGATTTAAATTGTTAATATTTTTCAGGATCAACTTGGTTTAAATTTGAATTTTAGAGATCAAATCTGTTCATAATTTTGTGGCAGTTTCTTGGTGTGCTAACATTACTCCATAATATGATTGTGAGTTTCCAACTTAAGAATAAATATGGAAAACCTTAGGTGAGGAGGTCGGGAAACAGTTAGATAAGAGGTAGAAATGTAAGTTAAACTTTTTGAGATGGTGAAATCTTTTGCACTACATCTGAAAAGTAATGATGTTTGCACTGATTTCAATCCAAACATGAGAGCATGACAATTGAGTTGATATTCGAAAGAAAGTTAGATTTCCATATGATATAATTTAAATGAGTTGAATGGTAAATGGTAAATGGTAAATAGATCAAGCCCGTGGGACCCAAAGGGTCAAAAGGCTAAAAAACACAATACAAACAATCCAACTCCAAACTAGGAGAGAACCAAAAGAACCCCCTAGCTAGTGCCCAAAGCACTAGAACGGTAACTAATAATATCTCTAATGTAACAACCTAAATCATAAGGCTCGAGTTGAAGCAGAGAAAAGAAATTCTCGACATCAACTTTATGCGCCACTCGAATCTCTATATATCTAGTACAAGTAATAAACACATGCTCTTCATCCTCAACATTTCTCCCATCACATAGCCTACAAATTCGTTCACTCCTATCAATATTCAACCAACGTCCTTCCTCAATTCCAAGCATATGAGATCTTGTTCTATGCTTGGCAATAATATGACGTAAAGAAGTAGATATCTCTGCAAGTAAGTATCCTTGCTCACAATAAACAAGCATAGGATTTACATGAAGTTGATAAAACTGCATCTTGGTGCCTCGTCTGCTCCACATAATGCTGAGAAATTCCTCCTTAATACTCTCGCGTAGGGCAATAGGTTGCAAATTCCAATCGAGTTCCGTCACATTCCACCTCAAAGACCAAGTCACCACATCTGCAAACCAACCCTTGGGACGTGTGGCACGCAAAGCTTCAAGAGGAAGTCGAGAAGCATCAAGAGATCTCACTCTTTTGACGTAAGTGATAGTCAAAAAGAAAGCTTCGGCCTCAAGAGGTAGACAACCTGTTTCCGCAAGAAGAATTGCATAAGAAGTTTGGGTCCTCACACCCAATTCTTCTTGTAAGAAGATCTTTTGCATCCTCTCCAAACGCTGCCAACCTGTCTTCTTACAACCAGGACCCCACACTTGTGTTCCATATAAGATAACGGGAAACACTAAGCTCCTGAATAAGAATTTCCTAAGACTCCAAGACACTAGATGAGCTCCTCTACATCTATTTAGCAATGAATATAGAGCTTTGAAACCAGCTTCTACCCTCTTTTGCACACAAAGTGCCCAACTATAATCAGATGAGAAATCAATGCCCAAATATTTGTAACTTTTCTCTTGTTCCAACTCTAATCCTTTGTAACAGAAAGAGAACTTGGATCTAGTGCCCACAAGAATGACTTTGGACTTCTCCAAATTGACTTCCATCTGATTTTGAGTACAAAAGCTAGCCAAAGTGTCAAGGTGTATCTGTAAACTAGTGGCATCACGTGCTAGTAATATGACATCATCTGCATACAAAAGAGCTTTGATGACAAAGCCTCCAAGTTTAACACCTTCGCTATCACAATCCTCCAACCACCTTTCTATATCATCTATGAAAACTCCAAAGAGAGTGGGAGAGAGAGGACAACCTTGAATGACTCCAATGGTGCTGATAATCTCTTCAATTTGAGAAGTGTTGATCTTGGCCCGAACTGAGTGGTATAATGCAGCCACCGCTGCCAAGAGATCTGATGGTACTCCAATGGTTTGCAATCTTTGCCATAAAAGCTCACGAGGTACTGTGTCAAAAACTTTCTTGAAATCAATGAAGGCACAAAACAAGGCTTTTCCATTACCCTTGGATTTCTCCCATAGAACACGTAAAACCAAGATATGGTCTATAATGTTGAATGTAGGACGAAAACCAGCTTGGAACCGCGCTCTCTTCTGACAAGATTCAGCCCATGTGCTCAACTTTGACTCCACCAATTTGCCAAATAACTTGGCAAAAATACTACCCACCATGATAGTGCGATAGTTTGTCACCAAGGCCTTGCTCCCAGATTTGTGAATAGGAACAATCTTCCGTAGAGACCAAGATGAAGGAAAACCATGAATAGCAGCATACTCTAACACTTTCGTGAGTATAGGCCCAATAGCATCTCCTCCCCACTTGAGAAGTTCAATGGAAAGCCCATCCAAATCCTCACATTTACCATTTGCCAATTGTCTGAGTTGAGTCATCACTTCAACTTCTGAAAATAAGACTGGATTTACTTCACAATGTGGCATAGATGCAACATTGGGAAAAAAATAAAGCTTTTCAGCAAAAGAAATCAAAGACTTGGGATCAAGAGTAGGTTTAGAAGATCGTACTGCCAACCGCCTCCAAAAGGATTTGGGATTCTCCAAGAGCTACTTTGTCAAGCACTCTTGCTTCTGCCTCAAAAATGCTCGTTTCTTGGACTTCATCAAGTCTTTGTAAAGTCTTGTCATAATCAACCGATTGTGAAGATCCAAGGATTTATCAAGTGATCTCGCCCTCGCTTGCTTGCAATCAAAGTCAAACCATCCATTGCAAGGAAGACCTCTAGCTCTCCTGGTCTTATGTCTCAAAAAGAACTTAGAAGCAGAGTTTTGGAGCAACTCAGTTAGTTGCAAACTAGATGTATGTGGATCAAGGCTCCAAGTAGTACAAGTCAAGAGGTCTTGGAAATGTTCTCTATAAAGTTGCTTCTTACTAGCATATAAACAAAAATTGGGGGAAGTAGAAACATAGTGACATGTAGGGAGAGGGATTGACGTTGACAACAAAAGAGTAAATAAAAGAGGTGTATGATCTGATTCTGGTTGAGGCTCTAGAATATCAAACGCTGAGATAAATGAACTATTAGTAGCAGAGTACAAAAGATAATCTATAGTGCTAACACCTGTAGAGGAAAAACATGTATTGGAGTGAGAGTTGGGAAAGAAAGAAACACCATTGAGAACTTTCAGATTACAAGTGGCTCCAAAAGTCAAGAAATGCTCAGTCAAATCATTTGTACAAGAATCACAAGAGACTCTAGACCACAAACTATCTCTACTTTCTTCAAAAGAGTGAGAGGACAAGGAACTATCAAATTGTGTAAATTGAGCGGAACGTATGCGGGCATTGAAGTCTCCAACAAGAAAAACTTCACCTTTGTGTTGATATTTGAGAACATCTCCTATGAGCCGATGGAATGGTTGACTTCAATTGCAAGTGCTTGTGGAGTAGATCTGCATGGATAATGGTGCAAAGTAACAAACTGCCAAATAACTGGAAGATCCTCCAATCAATCCAAGACGAAGCCAATGATATTGTTTCCCAATATCTTGGCTTTCCAAATGTATCATAGGAAGAAGTTCAGATCTTATGAAAGTAGTAATGCCTCCAAAGCCTCTTCCTGCTCGTCGATTTCTATGGTTCCAAGTAAATCCCTCCAGAGTAAACCCTTGTATCTCTCCAATAACATTACTTTCATGCTCCCAAGTCTCAACAATGTTGAGGATGTCCGCCATCTTCCAAATCGGATGTGCACTCACATACTTAGTTGTAGATAGGCCTCTTATGTTCCACATCAACACCCTCAATCTCTTGGATTGCTAGGTTGATGATTGTCTACTCCTCTTGGTGATAATAGCTTGACTATCACGTAGATAAGCTACAAAACCTGCATCTTGAGATTCTTTGACTTTTGCAAGCTCCTTCCTCCTTGCTTCAACTTGAAGAGGTGTAAGATCTGGATCTAACCAAATACTCCGTCCCTTGAGAATGGCCTTGTTAGCCATATCACGTTGAGCTTGATCCATAAACTTAACAATAATGGCACGAGGTTGTGTGCCTTTGTTGCCAATACGATAAGCATGAGCCAAATCCGGATTAGGAACATCAAGTGTTTCAGTCAAAAACTTGGTGACCACACTCTTCACCTCTTCCTTCTCAGATTCAGGTAGACCCGAAATCCTCACATTCTTCATACGAGCAAATTGATTAGCCTTTTCAATCTCTTGCTCTTGACAGAAAGAGATATGAGCAGACTTGGTAGCTTCAGCATAGGACTTCATTTTCACCTCTAGAGTTTCAACCACTTCATGCAAAGCAGGAGTAGTAACAGTAGAAGCTTGAGAACCAACCTTGTCTTGAATGTCCTCAACAGATCCAGAGATTTGGAGCATGATCTTCTCAAAACTTTTGTCAGAAATCTTCAACTCCCTGATTTCATTCTTTGCAGCAGCCAAGGCAACATTTTGTGCCTTGAATTCTTGGCGTAGCACTTTCAATTCCTCCAAAACCGTTTGCACAAGATTGAGAAGTTTGTTTTCAGAATCCATCATGAATCCAACTTTGCAAGATGTTACACAAGCTCAAAGTTTCAAAATGAAAACTTCTTGACGGCATCTCCGTTGGGGCTGAAAATTAATAAGTATGTGCGCACAGCCGTCGTGAACAAGCCCACCAAATCTCAGCTCCTGTTGACACTCCAGCAAGAAGATATGGCACCCGCAAGATTCATGCTCAAACCCCTAAACTCAAAGTTTCGAAATGACAACTTCTTGACAGCAGCTCCGTTGGGGCTGAAAATTTGCAAGTATGTGCGCCCGGCCGTTGTGAACAAGCCTACCAAATCTCAGCTCCAGTTGACACTCCAGCAAGAAGATATGGCCCCCCGCAAGATTCATGCTCAAATCCCTAAACTCAAAGTTTCGAAATGACAACTTCTTGACAGCAGCTCCGTTGGGGCTGAAAATTTGCAGGTATGTGCAAATATATATGTGAATACATACACAATGTATATAACAATAACAACGACAATTAAATAATCTATTCGATTGAATAGACGTATCACTAAGATATAATTGAGATAACCAACATACTATATTTTCTTAACAAGCCAAATGATATATATCAAAATGAAACTTATGAGCATCAATTTTTATTTTATTACAGATATTATTATTTATAATAAGTTTGAAAATTTCAAAATTAGCAATAAATTCAATTGAAACTATGCTTTGATTAAATTATATTTACTCTAGCATGACATAAGTCTAGTATATGTTTTAATATTTATTTACTAGTGAGCCTATGACTAACGTGTAATTAATACTTGTTTACAAAATATAATGTGCTTTGGATAAATATTTTCTAAAAATTCGTGGGATAGATTTATCAATGAAAAAATAGTTAGGAACCTCAAATTAAAAAAATAATAATAATTAGAAAGTATCATAATAGTTTTATAATTGACTGGAAAAGTGTAACATTTCTAGTATTTTTATAAAATGCTGGTTAAATATTCTATTTAAATATTGCACATATCAAATTTTTTAAAAATAACAATTTTAATTTGTATCATGGTTTGAATATACTAGTTTTTTGAAAAATCAAGTTCTGAAACTCAATAACTTTTTTTGAGAAAATTTGGTTGGTTTCAAACATTAGCATAAGCACAGCAATCACTTCAATTTTTCAATGCTGAGTAAGCTTTTAAAGTTTTGTATCAAAATATATGAAAAGATAAAAAGTCAATACATAAATCAAATGAAAATTGAATAAACACTAACTCTTATTTCATTACAATCTTTACTATAGCTCTAGTTTACACACTTTGTAACATGTATATCAATCTAACATAGTTAATAACTCTTCATATCACCTTCATCACTCCAAATACTCACAATAATTTTGTTTGAGATAAGCATTCATATTCTCAAAATGTAATACCTACTTATTGCTGTAGTATAAGAAAGAAGTGTAAATGAAAGCAGATTCACTTATGTTTCAAATATTCCAGATTCCGACACAAGTTTTTATTTACCATAGTAACATTCTTGGAGCAACCATGTCAAATTCTACCTCTTGAGCTCTATGTTAAATGACTTCGTTATAGACCCTCTTGACAGACCCATCGCATACGGGCCAACTGCAACAAATACTCTCTAATTGAGGTATTTGCACTTATCTAGATGTGTGATGCCATTATATAAGTGGTGACAATCACGTTAGTAAATATAGACATTCTCACGCGTAGATGATTACAATGTTTGTAGAAAGTTATTCTTCGAAAATGATGCACTTGCGCTGGCTAAATTATATTTTCACCGGATATCTGCAACAAGAAAAGCGAAACCTCTTCTTTGTGTGGAATCAGTGATCGGCGTTAAGAGCAGATCGATATTCATCCTCAGACAGGGATCCCTAGATTGAGGAGGGTCTGTGTCGGCTCAGGCCTCGATGACAGATTACACAAACCTACTAATGATGGCACACGCACTGAATAAGAAACTCCTGTTCGAAGCAGAGATCCATGCCAGCGGCAGGTCCTGAAAGGTCCTCAACATAATACATTTATTATGTTGAGACAAGAACGGTTGTTTAAGTAGAACTCAATGCCTCAATCCAAAATTGTAGTTCACCGAGGCTGAAGTATGCAAACTCGTCCCTTCAGGCTTTAGGGATAAGTGAAAATGGTTTGATCAAGCGAAATGACCTCTAAAGGTTTTAGGTGAACAATAATCGGTGCAGTCTTCGATCGAAATGGAGTGGAAGTCCACAGGAGAGGTTGATCTTCTGTTCCCGCCATAGCATGCCATCATGTAATCTCAGCACAGGTGGCTTCTTTTGAAAAGGGTGTAGCAGAACTAATAAGTTCTTTCTTCGACCCAGAGCGATTATAAGAATCAAATATAAGGACATTCGTGACCATATCAACGACGAATGTAAGCAAATACATACATGGCTGTTGTTCAATGCATTTTATCGGACTTGCATACGCACCCCCAAAAATTGAAGGTCGTGAATACACGGGATGGGGACTCCGCCGCCTCTGGTAAAGATCGGTAACAGCGTCCCATCTTGTCCAAAGGTTTTGGATGCTGGATTCGGACGACCACTCTGCTGTTCAATAAGACATCAGTGAAAAGACTCAGCTGTTGCATGCATGTACGATTTTGTTTCCTTCACATTACCACCGCGCCACAAGTCCAGTCGATCAGCTGTAGTGGCTTCTTCCTCTGATCCAAATATGTGTCCATCACCATGTACAGAACACATGATTCTGAGAACATCGGGCTAACAAGGTCGATCATCTTAAACAATTCAGTCACACTTTTGGCACTTCGGCCGAATCTAGGAATTGTAACGTTTCACTCACCAGGCAGATCATACATAAGTAGGTGTGAAACCTCAACAATGATTAACCTGCTCGAAACTGCGTCCAGTTACTTCGTACAATTATTCGACAAGATAGTACTTCCAATCTTAAGTGCCACGGCAAGAGCAAGCACTAAGCTCAGGAGTTGTGAGTACACACGGGCACTGACGGAGTACCTCAAATTGCGTCAAGCACGTTACGACTGGTGGACAGCTCAAAATGAATCTGATGTGCAGCCTGCCGTATTCTGAACGAGGAATGACTCCAAGGTGAAGATGATGAGAGGATACAGATGATGGTCATTGAGATGCCGTTTATGCGAGTTCAAGGTCATATGTGAAGAGTGAGGAACATACAGCGACGAAGGAAAGAATATCAGCTAGCTATTTCTTGAACTCGATGGGAAACAAGTCTATTGGAAAAAGTACGGGAGTATCCCATTAAGTCCTACGTTGATGAAGCAAGCAGTCAAGATAAGTTTCGTCCCAATCGAATCAATATGTTATGCTAATCCTAGTTATCTATGTCAATCAATCTACACAATTCAGGAGTATGGAGTTATCATTGCTTACTTTGATTGTTATTGTATGGATTGCACCATTCAATTTCTTGAACTTGTAAATGGAACTTAGAGTAATCTTTAAATAGATAGAAAGATACTTTCTTATTTACATACAGCATGTAGTTGCCAAGCTAAGGAAGTGAGTGAAACAAAAGAATTCAAAGAATGTGATGAAACTAATCGACTTGGATGAGGTTAGGCCCAGTATTATTTTGATGAAAAAAAATATTAACAAAGAAGATATCAAAGTGATTACAATCAAATTACCATAAATGATTGAAGAATCATCATAGAAAATGATATAATTTAAAAACAAAATTTCATTAGCTATTATTTAAAAATAAAATGGAAACACATTAACTAAATTGAATTGCATCTTTACTCAGAAAAATTAGATATACTTGACCGTCCAATATGTTTGTTGAGGTTAATTCTAGTTAAGAATTAACCTTAGATATTAACTATCTATAACTAGAATGATCTCTGGTGTTGGGTATATATATTCCAAGGCTTCTATGCTGTATCACTATTTTTCACGACGGGAATAAACTCTCCCAATTAATTTTCTTGTGGAATTAATACTCTAAAGTATGAACCACATTGCAACTGCGTGTACTTGTGTTTGTTTATTTAACTGTTGACTACCACTGTCTTACATATTTCAGACTAACAATGTTGATAATTTACATAGTTTTTAAAAAATGTTCATAGTTTAATAGGATAATACAAATAGGATTTAAGCATGGAAGTATATTTGATTTTGAACTTTCTTTATTAATCATTTAGGAATCAATTATAAATTATCATCTTCTTAATTTATTGCAAAGTATACACACCTCATCTATATTATGCTTACACCTTACATATCAAACATCACATCTTCATTTACATATATAGTATAAATGAATAATTCATGTACAAATACATGCTTCATCTAAAATGATAAAAGTATCATGATGTAAATAGATGAGTTTTTTTGGGTCATATTATACAAGGTTATTTTTGCAAGCTGAAAAACTATAATGACTTGTTAAGCTAAAATTTCACAAGCTTGCTCTTTTTCATACTGAATGTACAAATAATATTTGATAGTACAAGATATAACTAGATAAATAAAAAATGAATGAAAGACCTACTATTTTACAAAATCTGAACTCTCTATTCATAACACCATGGAATAAATTGGCATAAAATAAGATGGTGCACTTCATGTGTGTATGTTGCATAGTTTTATTTAGAAAAGTATTGTTTTAAACATTTTTGCAATATATAATTATATATATTTACTCTATGGCATATGTGACTTCATAATAAGCATGTATTATATATATATATGCAACTACAAGTTGACAAGATATAGAGAATGTTCATTTGCCAAAAATATTGTATCGATACTTTTCGCTGCTAATAATACTATTCCTGCACATATAATTGGAATACGTTTTTGTGTAATAAATTCTATCATAAACTTTAAGATATTTAGCTCGAAAATGTGATAGAAGACGTTGATGATTCGCTTATCGATGACCATTTGTATTCTATTCATGCTTGAATAGAATACAAATGAAGTAGGTCTTGTGAATATTTTCTGAAGTATACTAGAAGTATTAGAAACAAATATTTCATTTGAGGATATTTTATAGTGAAATATCATCTATGTATTAGACGTAGTTAAAATGCATCAATTAGGCAGTATGAGAACAAAAAGTTGGTCTAAGATAGATTCAAAGAATGCAAGCACATTTTATAATCTCATACATCATTTGCAAGATGGATAAAAATATTGTTGCCATGAAGACATAAAGTCTTGAAACCTTGACTCTCAGGCGGAAATTTGGTAGTCAAGTAAACAGATATATCTTCAATGTGATCTACATATTATAGAAAATGTACATAACTCACTAAGGAGTGTAACACACATGAACTGAACAGTAGAAGAAAGAGTTATATAATGATATATATCAAACTATTTTCTTTAAAAATATCTTATTTTGTAATGTCAATAGCAAAAAAAGAGCGGTAATTCTCTGATTTAGATAAAATAAGGTTGTGGATAGAAAACTATACATGAAATATAAAGAAATTATATAGAAATATAACATTCGATTACCATAAATGAGTCTTTCTAAACCCTAAACCCATCCAGCATGTGCAACCGAGCAGACCAGAACTGCGTTTCAGACAGCACCGCACCAATAACTAAGTGGGAATGCAACTTTTGCAACTCACTATCAAATTGCAAGAGCTTCAGGCGGCGTTCCATTTCTGCTAGATCAAATTGAGCTCCGGGAGTCAATGGTACATTCGGTGTGGCAGCTTGTCCTGCTGTTGCTGCTGGCACTCCTCCTCCAGAAGAATTTTGCTTTCTTAGAATTTTAACCACATGATCACGAACACGCATCTCGGTCTTTGAAATCATCATACTCGAACACGAATCCCTCTCCCACGCTGCAGCGGTCGAGGCACACCGTTAAATGCTACATCACAGAACTTCGTAGCTACTGGATTTCACTCAGTAGTAAATGAGTCTTTCTTCCCCCCACCCACCCCACAAATATATGAATGTAGATAAAGCTCATGATGTAGCAATGTCAAACAAACAGCTTAATTTGTTATTAAATACAATGACAATCTTATATAAGCATAATTAGAGATACTCCATCAGAATAACATGTTGGACAAGACGTAGCATTAGAAATTCTAAATACTCTCGTCGTCCCATGCATCCATGGCTACTCTGGAGGTCATATGATACATCAGAGCCCAAGATGGTCCAAGCAGCGCTCCTCCACCATGAAGGCAGCAAACAAGGACACCTGGAAGGAAAGTAAGCAGAAGGAGCTGCTGAAGCACGGGAAGCGCAGTTCTCGCTTCGTACTGGAAGGGACTCAAGCGACAATAAAAGCAACAACAACCGAGGAGCAGCAAAGTCCAGCAACAACGAGACGCAACCAACGTGGGCACAATCGATCTTTGACTTCCACCTTGGCTGCGCAAATCCTCAACGCCAATCCCAATCCCAGCCTCTTGCGCGAGGAGCCGGGAATGTCTTGAAACGACAGGACGTACCAATCAGCCGGGCCAAGTGTCCGGGAAAATACCAGAAATGCTCGAGAACATCGAAGTGGAATCTGTCTTGGGACTGCACGGGTGCCAGTAACATTAAATTCTTTGAAGCGTCGTATCTCACATGATGCGCCAAGTGATGCGAGTTTTGCTTGTTTCCGAGTTCTCTTCAAATGTACATAACATGACAGCGATGCGACCTTCAGTCCCGGATTCCGTAATTCTTCTTTTCAAATACGAGTAGTTCTTGTCTGGAGTCCAGCTTAACTCAGAACCATTCTCTACACAATGATCCAGCTGCTCCTACCACATCCACATTCGGCAGCTCCAAGATAACGTCGCGAGCTATAACAAGCGGTCCTTCCATCCAAAAACTGCGTGCTGCTGCGCAGTAACAACCCCCACAAATTCCTCCAGTGAGCAGGTTCAGTACAGGGTTCTGGGAGACAGGTTGGAAGGACAGCCAGCGCACCAAATTGAGGGTGCCTACATGGTGTCCCTACGGATCAAGGACACCGTCTCTTCGTTGCCGACCTGCACTGGGCGTCGCCGATTGTCAGCGGTCTGAGCTGACTGTATGATGAAGAAAGGAATTATGCAACGCCAGAAGTGCAGCTGTCAAGCCAGAGATAAAGGGATGACTTCTTCTGTACCTTCCGGTTCCTATTGTCATAAACCGGTGTGCTCCATGTCCGATCATGTCAGGCAGATGGGGCTCAGAAGGAGTCGAGTTGACGTCGGCTGAGGTTCGCTATGTGTAAGCCGTTCATATACTCCAGGAAACAGGAGTTCGATACTTAGAGTAAATTCCATGGCTCCAGGAGAGCAGTGAGTGTATGATCAACCGGAGGCACTGAAGTGAACACATAACTGAGCAGTGGCAGGACGTTCACGATCGGAAGGGGTACACCATTAAGGTTGCCTACGACAGTCACATTCACCATTCCCGACTCTGAACCCGACCACACCATCCGCACAGCTTAAAAATGATGCTAGCTCACGTTTTTCCTCTTACCAGTCCCAGTGCTTCCTAATACATTGATGCATCGTATATTGCCAACTGCATATCGTCGTATGGTAAGATGAGACCTCTGGTTTACGTACGTCCATCCCAGCGCACGGAGTGCAAGTTTTGTCTAGATGACAATGTCAGTTGTTACAGAACAGTCATGTCCGCTGCCCCATTGCTTTGCCAAACGAGCTCAGCTTCTGTACGGTATACAAAACATATTGCTCTCGAGATGGCTGGGCTCGCGATCTGTGATAGGTTTGCACCGACCTCATGTGGAAAAAAGTAGTAAATCTCGTAATCAGTGGCTCACGTCGATAACATAGGGAGAAAATCTTGAGTTGAACAGTACATGTGTAGGATTCAACTGTAAGCAGTATAACCAAACTGCCACCGAGGAAGGCATAATGATACGGTCCAGCTGGTGGTTGCGAGGAGTCCGACAACCGCATGGGGCACAATGCCAGACATTGAGACGTGCAAAATTTCACTGTTGTAGGTCACATTATTGGTTTTGATTATCCAGGCGGGAGATCGCTTGTACTCCCTATCGACAAAAGGAATCCTTCTAACAACCGCAGAATCAACCTGTAAGAGAAATGGCAAAGAGAGAAAGACCGTTGCCATGAACCACATTGATTGCTCGCACCAACACAAACACCAAATCTCTGAGCTGTTCAACCCCAGGATAGCGAGATTCCCGGAGGGGCCTGAACCCCAAAGTATGTCTTCGTTGGAAGAAAAAATGTCAGTAACAAGATAATCACCAAGAATAATCGTATAACAAAAGTGTCTGCCTCTCTTCCTGCGTGTAGCTAGTACTTCTGCAGATCCGTGCTAATACAACTGACCACATGCTGGTTCACAATGGTATTTGGTTCAGATTCTGGCAGAACAGTTTTATCTAAAGACCCTGTGATGAACCGAGTGATCTGTTTGATCCTGGTTAGGGTAACAGCACCAAATAAAGGACACCATTAAGTAAACTTCCTATGAGCATGTTGATCAAAGAGCTTTGCCAGGTCAAAGTCTGCAAACTGAGTTCGAGCTCTCGTTATCGCTCTCCCAAATCATCGAGAGAATGACTGTGATCAGGTGCCACCTAAGTCCATCTCCAGTGGAATCATCTAGATCGTCTAACAAGCTCAAGCTAGTTCCATCCACGGGCTTGGAGTTTTGATGTCCACCCTGTCTCTGGGTTACTGTATGCACTTCAGAATTGTGCTCAGTAACAACCAACTTGGATAATACAAGCTGCAGTTACAATTACGTGAGAACGCACTGAACTTGATGTATCTAGTGTGAGGCCCTTTCTTTAACGATGGCACATCAACGGCACAAAACCGATCTTCTTGGATCGGAGAGACGTACTTCGAGAGCCCGGTGACTAGAATGAAGTCCTGCGATGAGTACTTTTATTTTTCTTTCACACCGCAACTGGTCGTCTCCTAGCCTGTGGGCAAACTAATCTGAGGAACTAAACGTAATAGTACCCAGTTACAGGAAACGCATACCGCCTGTGATAAGAAATACAAACCGCAGTCGCTCCTCGACCATTCAGAGACATGGGTTCGACTAACAGAGGCGGATCCAATCAAGCGTTGACACCGAACATGAAACCATTGCTAAACCAGGGCACATTAGTCGATGGAATCTGATTTCGAACAGGCGATCGGAACGTGTTCGGAGTCACAGGATGGCTGATTGGTAGTCCAGAAGCACGCAGGACCTGCTTGGCGTTTACACAGCAAGGCTCCGCATAATCAGTGAAAAATGTCGGCGAACCTTGCTGCCTGATCACCTCGAGTGCACCGGCCCAGGTTTCAGAGCGATCCAGCCCTGCGTTTAATGCGACTACGAGATGAGGTGGTTGTAAGGCATTGGCCTCTTCTTGGTACAGCCCCTGCACAAATGTCATTCTCAACTTCCTCCCAAGACTATTTACTTCCCCGGACAAGGAGCTTGGTACTTCAGGTCCAACCATCACAATATGTAAGCTTCCAGATCCACTCAGTAAGTGCCCAATCTCCGTAAACGCTGGCAGCCAGTCGAGCTCTCCTTCAGGTCCGAGGTAGTGTACGGTAACTTCCCTGCCCTTGGCCAGCATATTCTTCGTCGAGACGCATATTGAGGTCACAATGCTGTAAACTGTGAGAGGGAACGACAATATTGCTGCGACAGGACTGGATAAAGGTAGCCCGCGAAGATTGTAGTATTCTCCCCAACCAGACAGTAGCAACTGAGAGCTTGCTTTATCGTAGTCCAACAGAGGTGCATCAGATGGGTACGTCCCGTGCTCTACTCCCCAAGCCCCAGCCCAACCCCCTCCTTCGGGCGGAGGAAGTTGACCGAATGGGCAAGATCTGTAACAGGTACAAAGTCTCCTCCACATTCCTTTCCCATGCAATCCTACCTGTTCCAACCATTTGCAGGGTTGCTCCGCCAGGTAGGGAAAGGTAAAACCCTTGATCTCTAGCTCATCGACTCGCTCCATCATTGCCTGCACAAAGTGACAGCAATGGATTAGCACCAAGCTCGGACAGAGGGTGGCAGAATCAGGACGTAAATCTAAAAGGTGTGGAAAGGCATGAGAGGACAGAGGAAGCAAGATAGACATAGTTGTCAAGAGAATTTGGAGAACATGAATACGTTCAATACTCAGCTTTGCATGGCAATACATGGAAAGCATAATAGCTGGCAGAAAAGGCACCATTGCAATAAAACTTAAAGAGCATACAACGGCCCGATTTTGCAGCCACGAGCTCATGTAAGGCCCGTCGAAGACCAGATTCGGCAAGAATGCAGTAAAGGATTCGTTTGAGGAAATTGAGAGGGCTTACCTTGTACAGTTCACAAACTCCTTTGTGCACCTCCTTCCAGTCCTGTTTTTGACAAACATGGCCACAGTAGATAACTGCTTTGCATCGACTACACCGTGGGGCTCGCTCTGCTGGGACCTCTTTCTCGCAGACTACACACTGCCGAGCAACTTCCGTTTTCTCTGCAGACATGTCCACAGTTTCCGAAAGCTTTGGAAGAGAATTACTCGAGTCATCATGTTCCACATTCGGAGGGAAGCTCACTTTCACCATCACGGACTTATCCCGCATGTCTTCGGCCGGGTACGAGACTTCTACAACCTGCGATAGGTCCTCGAATGAGTAAGGCACACCACTGACTTGCTGAAGTTGAGGGTGAACCTGCGTAAGGGCTCTCAAGCAGGCATATACCCATCTAAGCTCTTCCAGCAATGGATTGCGGAAGGAAGGAAAGCCGTCAGCAATGGCCTTCTGAGAAAACACCACATCTATTGCCGGATAAGCTTTAGGCCCGGCAATTTCTAGCCCGAGGGTCCTAATCATCTTCCGGTTGCCGGGGGACACTTCTGCCTCTGGCCCGAATGTGATTCGCAAAAGCCCTCTCTGGGGTACAGATTTCTGATTTCCTTGTCCCTTGGCTCCATTCATCCCCACAGCATCTTCCTCCGAGCGAAGAATGTTAAGCCCCAAATCTCCAACCCCAGCTCCTATAAATTGGACGCAAGAAAAGGGTTGACGAGCATCAGGCCAATCCGATGGCTTGCCGATTTTTACGCCAAATAAATGAGCTGCCTTCAACCGCTTCCACGGATGCGATCGCCACAGAAGGGCCAGAGCGCGAAACAGAGATTTTATGAAAGCCGTGCTGATGCCATCAACTTTGAGCAACGAGGTCCCAGACCCTGCTCCTAAACCTGGCCCGAGACCGAATTGCTGCTGGAAGGTACCGAACAGCTCCTTCAGGTGAGAGTCCATCTTCACTCACCCACCCACTTCAGAAGGTCAAACTTCACGGCTAGACGAGATCCCTCAAAATTGTAAACCACCACCCCGCAGAAAAACGTCGTAAAACAGTATCAAATCTCGTAGGCAAGGACGTGACCGAACAGATCACTCCTGTCGGATAATATACAACACAGGCTTATCTCCTGAACGATTCCCAGCTCCTGACACGGCGAAGGAGACGGTCGCTGTGACGGCGTTAGCTGACGGCCCTCAGTATTCAATTCACAGTAGAGGACAGAGGAAGGGAGATCGGATTAAGTGTGTCCACTGTATTCAGCTCGCGTCGTGAATGGATGTCAAGAGATCAGCAGTGCAGATAATTTCTTCACGAACGAACTCAATCGGAGCACAAGTGAGAAGTACAGAGCAAAGCCCACTGCGATTTCGATGAGTCCCATACAGGGAATTACCAGAAAAAATCTGCAGCCGCGAGAGCTCAGATCTCTTCACAGATTCCGCAACGACACGTCCATGAACAGGGGCGGAAATGTCAATGAAATACTGTGTACCTCCTGGAACGCGAATCCCCCGACCCTTGCTCCTGGCACGACTTGCGCAGATCAGGAGTGCGAATCACGACCCAGGTGTCTAACGCAACGGCCTTCTAGCCGGCGCTTCCTCCTCTGCTACATGAAGACATTCAACAACTTCCATCTCCACACTTACACAGAGCCACGACCCATAACTCCCCCCCGCCTCCACCTTCTCTCACCATAAACAACTCCCACGAAAACCAGTGTAACAATAACAATCTGTATAAAATAAAATCCTCCCCGTCCCGGGCTTTAACAAACTCCAGCTCCGGATGCTGTAGGAGAGGGGAGAGGGGAGAGGGGACGGGGGGCGGCAGCCACAGCGATCGAAATGAACGGCGCAACGACCAAGCCCTTCCAGCTCCGCTGGCTTAGCTTAGCTGAGCTGAAGCACCGGGACTTGCCAAAGGCACAGCACCAACGATGGCGCAGCATGTGCTGCTGCTGCTCCTCGTCGCATGCGTCACACTCGCGACTCCATTGCACTCGACTCTTGCTCTGCTTTCGCCACCGTGTGACGCTTTCCACAGCATCCGGTCAATAATGCTCGGAGCAAGGCCTCTCGGCTTTTGTCCGCTGGTCGGCCTCCAGCGCTCGCTCATACTGTACGGTCTCTTGCCTGCCTATATTGCCTGCGTATTCGTAGATACCTCTATCTTCTGAAGCGCCAGGATGTGCCCACTGCCACTTCATCCTCGTTTCCCAATCACATTGCTTTCGACTCGTTTGCCTCGCCTTCCATCTCACACTCCCTACCGACATCCACATCCATTTGGTGGGAAAAGCCTCGGACGATAACGAAGTAACATCCAAGGGTGGCAAGGCCCCATATGGGAAACATGGGATGATCCTAAAGTCTCACAATCTGAAAGTGCACTCCTCACAAGTCTCAACTATTTTTATATACTGGTTTACAAACAACATGAGTTTCTGATGAAGTTTCACCAAATATTGCTGTTTAAAATAAATGAAAAAAAGTGGACTAAAGGATACTATCCAAAAAGTTGTAATAAAAAGATTGGTGTCGCTTAGTTTAAAAGATTTTGTCCAATATGTCACATTTGCACATGATATAAAAGTTAGAGGAAGAAAGAGATGAGTTCTCTACATATGCTTGTACTTGGAAACTTTGGATGTCGATGCTCCACTCTTTGCCACTAAATAAATGATAAGCAACAGTCTTCCATACTAAAGTGATCCTCATGAAACAAATGTAGGTATGTAGTCAAGTTTAAGATATATCAAATTTTTGTGAATCTGAGCTTTTCACGCCGTAACGAGCACCCCTACCTTATGAACAACTATACTCTATACTTTGAATGTGTGAGTTTTATCATAACCATATAAGTAATGAAGATGTAAATATCAATACATAACGAATTATTGCTGCAAGGAACGTATTTTATGTTTATCCAAAATATTGAATGCATGATGTAGGTACTAACCTTTATCCTTGCAATAATGCAAAGTCCAGACTAGGGCCACACCCGTTTTTGCTACGGCCACACCGGCTACATACAAACAACTGATTGCGCGTGAAAGCACGCCTCCCCTCAAACCCAGTTGCTAAGCCGAGCTCGTCTGCGAGGCAGAGGAGAGCGTAGTCGAGAGGCTTCGAGGGGCGCGGGGCTGCTGCGTCCGTCGCTGTCTCCCGCGTTGATGGGGCTTGGGCAGTAGCAGTGCGCTTGGGTAGTAGCAAAAGCGGGCATGGGCAAGGTAATTAGCGGTCGAGTGTGGCCGTAGCAAAAACGGGTATGGCCCTAGTCTGGCCCTAACGCAAATGAGCCATTACACTATTAAAGATGACAGGATCCAATCGAAATGAATCTAAAGCATCTTCAAAGTGACATTTGAGAGAGATAGATCATGTACCTCCAAAGCCAATTAGTAAGCAAATATGAAAGGACAATAGCTCATGCTATACATTTAAACTTCTTGTTTAATTTTTTTCACATCCAAATCTTTCATATGCATCGCAAAGATAGCTATATACTCAATCAAAAGTTTGGTTTATTTATTTATTTATACTATTTGGATTGTTTCAGCTGCAGTATCTTGCATCAACAATCCGCCTATTTAACACACACAACTGACAAACATACATGTCTCCATGCCAACTTTCCAATCTACCAAATGTCTTTTGTACTCATCTACTTTGCCCAGTAGAATATAGTATGCACATGCACGACAAACTATGATTGTAGATACAATTTGACGTAATTTACATTTCTATGATGAGTAACTTGTATGTCAATGTTACACATACCTCTTGGGTTCGCAAATGAAGAGGAAAGTCCGAAGGTTATTGAGCCTGATACTTTGATATCTTGAATGTCATAACTCTGAAACGAAGGTCAATAGTCAAGCAATCAATAGTTTATCTGGTGAAGTCTACAAGAAAGAGTGGACCAAGTCTATAGCAAAAATGAAGGATGATATATTCTGAAGTCAAAAAGACCATACTAGGTTATGATAATCATAAAAAGCCAATGCAAGTAGCCAAAATCTCCATGTCAAAATCTAGAGATAAATTGACCTATGGTGACTCTTTGGAAGCCACGTTATAGAAAAGAATAGATAATGAACTTTATACAGTATAGACCTCACGAAATACATGACTTGGAGAAACGTTCATGACATTTTCCATCATCTCTAGAGATACATGCACATGAGAAACTAGTTTGAGACATTTAGGGCCGGGCTAAACGCGTGTATATTGGCATCTCTTTTTAGAACTTTACTTCGCGACACCGACGGATCGAATGGACCCCGTGTCCAAATTAATGCTTGTCTGGCCTCCATATACCTTTACGGTAGTCTTCCAGATACTCGGAAGGTATAGACGTGCAACCTCGTAGCCTAGCTTGGTAGTTGGCAGTACAAAGGGGGTTTATAAGGGAACTCCTATAACAGCTCATTTGCCCACTTCAAGCTCCCGTCTCCAATTGCTGTACTTTGGCGACTAACATCTCCATTTCATTCTTTTAGGCCCCACCAAAATGGGGCCCGAACTCTTATTTGCTATTTATCGGATGTGCAGCTGACTTTAGTCCTACACCCTGTGGTTCATTTCCACGTTGGAATCGCTCTATGCTGAAGATACGACAAGTGGAAGAAAGCAAATGGATAAAATTCCGGTTGAAATTTCTTCCAAATCTCTTTTGTCCAAGTTGATATGTCTATGTTAAGGCAGGTGTCGAAAGAAGTATAGAATTGACCTACGACTGTATGTATCTATTTTGTAAGGAAATAATTTTCAGCTCACTCTGAATTACGATGCTATGTGCAAATCATAAGAATGCAATTTTTCTAGCGGTATTTGAAGGACCACTTCATTGAGTAGAAGAGATGATGGCAAAGCAGTTATTGAAAGCTGTAAGAGTCAAATGATGTTCTACCTGAAGGTCCAGACTTGGCAGCTGTCACTATAATAGATGTAGAAACACATCGCCATCAAACAGAATTCATGATATTGAGCAAGCTCTTTTGAATTGAGTCTTCCCTCATGATTCCTTCTTTTCAATTTTTTAGTAAAAAGGCCCTTTACTAAACGCAAGCCTTGTGTGACAAAAAAATTTATTCTTTATATTCGTTCTAAGGAGAAAAATACTAAGATGCACGGAAAAGAAAGTCATGCGTTTAACTCTTTTCTAAAGGAATGTACCCTTCAGTCTGAGAAAAGCATCAGTGACAAAAGAAAGAAGAGATTATGAAATTGTGACCTCAATATTTCTCGTGACAATGAGAATTTCTGGGCACCTCCAGCTGGAAGCGTCACTGGTACGTAAATATGTGATAGGGTGACTATCAACTCGTGGGTTTCCTCCTGGCTCTAGAGGCGCGTGAGATATGAGCCTATGTCACCCAAATCTAAAGCCCGGCATAGGGTCTACTCTCTACGCTTTCTTCTCATTTCTACATGTGTCCACAAGAGTGCGTGGCCTAATATTCGGGTAAGATTTTGTGGATAGCTCATCTAAGTACATGTTTTAAATGATTACTTTACACTCTCTCTATATGTTTATGGAACATGTACATCATTCAACTTGCATCCATGATGATTCTTCAGATAACATTAACTAGTGATATGTATAACCTTGTGACATATTTTGATTTACAATGCTATTCCATTGGGGCTAGTTCTATCATACGACTTAATTTTGGTTTCATCCACTTGCCCTGGTGTTCTTTCAAATTTTTCCCACTTTCACTTAGTAATCTTCAAGTTTACACTATATCCGATTACGGTACTCCCTACGAATCTACCTAAAAAGAAACTCGAAGAAAGGAAAGAAAGGAAAAAATTGATGGTTTCGCCAAAATTTATCCGGTCTCTGCAGACAAAAGCTTTCATACAGCCAGTTTTTTATTCAAGTTTTGGTGGCTGCAGGCGCCAAATTGGCGACGTGGCTAACTTAGAAATGCCGCTTACTTGTCGAGTCGGGTAAGTCTCTTCGGCATTTGAGACGCGAAACCATGGAATCTACGTCTGGCTGAGGTATCAAGCATCGTCCTCGCAACCTTTCACTTCCCATAGAAAAGTATGAAGTCAGATCCACAGTTTCTTTTAATCCATGTACGACGTTTGTTATTTTACTTTGTACTCTTGTCGATCGATCCACAGTACATTGTACGCAAATGAAGATGAAACGCGCGCATTTCAGACCGCTGGATAGAATCCCACCGTGAATATCACAGGGGAAGTCGTCGATTGGGCTGATTCCTGACAAGATTCGAACGTGCGGTGCGTGAAGATTGGGGTAATAAATTGTAGGTAACTAGACTAGACCTGTCTACAGTCTACGTAAGACTCGGTTGTCTTCCGAAGGTCCTCCTTGTTGTTAGTTTACTTTCTGCTTCTAGTTCTCTTTCGAAAATCGGTAATATCCGACTGATTCTGATCGGAGCAGTCAGTACTTCCTCAATGTTCCTCGTAGGCATGGTTCAGTCGCAGTGTGGATTTGTACCCCTGTCTGTCTGTCGCATTAGATGTCGGTAATGTTATCAAAGAATCAGAAACCTTTTTTGGACTCTTCGCTCAAGACTCGCTGACTCGTCAGTTGACATTGGGGTACAAACATTTTGAACCTATATCTTCGAATTCGGACGTTATTATGAAACCGCTTTCGGTTCTTTCTGTCCAGTGGGCGTAGTATGTGAAGTAGGATTATTGTATGTTCATTACAGCTCGTCGGTATTCTTACCAGCAATTATTGCTTGTACAGAAATCAGTCAGAAATTTGCCAGTTTGGAGCCTCATTGGACTCTCAAACTCATCCTTCTACAGACGATAGTGTCAGATCAGTATGGAGTAACACAGTTTTAGTGAGAACAAAGGCCTGCATAGTAGAATAACACAAATGCAGGGAAGACCCCATCAAGTGGGAAGTAAGGAAGGTTAAGGAGTATAGATGTCTAATTTGTGTTTCTAAAAATATAAACATGGAGCCCAACCCCCAAGCTCATGGGAGCACGACATGAGCTGCGGACTTGGGCTATCGCCAGATGGAAAGAAGGAAGTCAATA